TTCACGCGTAATGGGGTGAATAACTTTCGCAACACTCATGTTTGGTCAGTAGAAAATGCGCACGCTGTCCGTCGGGCACTTTTTCAACAAACATTTTCGGTGAATGTTTGGGCTGGCATGGTGAACGGTATGCTCATTGGACCATTTATTCTCCCAAATCGATTGGACGGGATGCAATACCTAGACTTTTTACGCAACATTTTGCCTTCCTTGTTAGAAGATGTACCATTAAGTGTAAGACAATCAATGTGGTTTCTGCGTCTGCTTGGTAGCGCATCAGCTGATTTCATTTTCTGTTGGAGCGGTATGATTTCGGGCAGAGACGTACTTAGCCTTTCTCGTCAACTGGAGAGTGAGTACTTTTTCCTTTATTTTTTTTTTACTTGGTCGCCCTCATTTCACTACACATTACCTTTGTTATTTCAAGGGTAGTTGTTTCTGTGCATACTTGACAACATGCAATTCTGTCAGGATACTAGCTTTGATCTGTCACGTGACACTTAGTCCAGAAAGTGGTAACCTGGCACTGATGTTTCTAGTTTTCTATTTGATGTCCCAAGGAAGGTCTAGACGTCAACTTGAATACTGGCACCTGCACGTATATTACGTATCTTGAAAAGTAACATTATGTCGATTTTTTTGACATTGTATTGGTTTTTTGTGACATTATGTAGGTTTTTCTACAAGATGTCAAATTAGCACTAGCTGATGGACACTTGTTGTGAACTCGTTTTGTTGTGAGTGTTGCCATGATGCTTTAGTTATCAATGCGTAGCTCTGATGTGATGTAAAATCTGCTTCAGATATGGCATTACTGGAGGTATAAGCTATAATTTGTATACTATAGCTAGAAGGAAACGGCAATGCATAGGTGCGAAGTGAGGATTTCTGTGATAATAATATGCGTTGATAACTCCATTGGATTCTTCTCTCAAATACATTTACTTGACATTTAAAGCTAGAAATTAGTTGTGCATCCACTTTTTCTTATTCATTTTGAAATTACATATGCAAATTTTAAACATGAGAGAGATAAGGAAAGAAAATCCCTGGTTGGTGAAGGAACAGATGACAAAATATGCTACAGACAGGAAAAATGAAAGTGAAAAGGTAACATTACTTTTATTTCCAGTCATTAAAATTCTATAGAAATTTATTTTGCGATTTGAATAGACAATACAAATCAGCGGCCTAGATGCGAGGCGTTGCGAAAGTGTTTGATGTGTGATGCGTCATTACTAATTTTTCTGTGATGTGTCTTAATTGCACCCATCGCAGGCGCGGTGGCGATTTCTCGTAGTGCTCCTAACACACGCACAAAAAAACGGGAAAAATTGTAATTTATAACTTTGAACATAACCTATCTTCAGAAAAGACAACATATAAATAACCCGTGGAGCACAGCTCTTAGATATACTTCATTGGCAGCATAATATTCAGTAATAATTTTCTCACATAGCAAATATCACTGATTTTATACACATGCAGACTAATACACATAATCATTCAGATTGCTATCCAACCAACTTTCTTTGTTTCACATCTTCTCAGACATGAAAACTACAGACTACTTGGCTTCACAAAACATATGCAACCAACAATGCGTGTAGTTGAGCCATTCCTCCATAGATGGACATTCACACCGATCCTAGTGGAATGACTGTTTACACCCGATAAACTACCTAGTCTGCAAGATGACATTTTATAGGTTTTTTGACGTTTTATAGTTTTTTTGACGTTTTATAGGTTTTTTGACGTATTATAGGTTTTGTACATAATACCCGTGCTGGAAACCCCCACGACTGTGTAACGTGCTGTTTTTTGAAGAGGAAGTATACGATAAATCAAATTAGCAAATGCCGAGCACGGCAGCCTTATCCCTGCTCGCAAACAATTTTCGGAGCTTTTGTCAATATAAGAGTCTTATAAAAGTCTAAAATTTGGATGGAATTTTGAGCTCTTAGCCTAAAAACCAGAAGCGAATCCCGTGGTTTTTATGCTGATGGATCTACATAACTTTCTGGCCAAATGAAACCACATATGTATACATTTCTTTTTCCGTCATTTCGCCTACGATGGTGGCCTTTTTTAAACTACAAATTGATTTATATTTATCTATGTTTAGTTTATGTACAGTACCTATTTTGATTATTGGGCCAACAGGGCATAACCATCGTCGATGCTTTTACTTTACAATATTTCTATCACTTTCAACGATTTCATTGCCACCCTATAATGATATGAATTAGTTTATTGTCATTCTCACGATCTTTATTCTATAAGTTAAGCGCAACCAACAAAACACTGCTTCTCTTTTAGATACTTGAAGTATTATGCTAGCAAATCAATTAGTCACTTGATTAAAATTCGAATTGCCGAGATATCAATGGTGAGAGTGGAATTATGGTATGACTTGTTTAACGGCTAACAGAGAAAATACAAGAACAATCTGATTGACATATTGACAACAATAGAGAAGGGTACAATACATACACAATACCCAGTATACCATGTTATATGCTCTGAAAGTTCATATGCAATTTGCTCTTCCAGCTTCTGCGTATAAAGTAAAATATACTTGAACCTTCTCTCATGGAACCTAACGCAATATGAAACAGCTCGATTAAACCGTTGGATTATTGGAAAATATGAGATATACTCATTCTGTGCGTCTGCCTCGGAACAACCATTGTATAGATAAGAATGATATCAAATAAAGACGTGGGCGAACCTAAAATGCTTTCGTTAAATTAATTTTTCTAATGTGCTGTGTTGTTGCGTGACTATGGATCATCAGGAATATTTACATGTAGAACTCCAGGTAAACATTCTTGTTAGTTATCAAATCTAGCGGTACTTTCCGCTTTCTAATATCTTGTTTGACAGGTCTGAGAAAAAATTATTAAGCTACGATACAATACCATTATACAGGGTATTTCATTCGCAGGGGAACATATTTTAACTATGAGTAGAGGCCACCTCATCTAGAGTCGTACGTACTTCCAGGAGAGTGTTAAGAACTAAAGGTTGGCGGTTACATAAGTGTATTCACATATTGAGGAAGCCTTCATTGAGAAAGTCTCTCAAATTTACAGATACACGAGTATTACACAGTCACAACATCACAGACACGGTACATGACATTGGCTCGGTAGTGCTCATCCACATTGAATTTAAACCACACAGAAATGGCGTTTAAACTTAAGATCTTAGTAGACCAACACACCCTGAACATAATTTCACGAAATCGACGAATATGATTCGAAAGCATCGGTTCGCCATCACATTCAATATCATACACAAATCGACCAGTGCAAAGGTTCGACTCGATTTCACTATAAAACCGTCATTCAAGTATTACGTAACAATTTTCGTAATATTTATCCCCGTACTCGTCTCCCTTGTCAGCAAAAGCAAACAGCGCTTTAGCGAAGTTTGCATACCTTGACAGCCTGTTCAAAGTAAAAAGTAAATTTAAATTTGCTACCTAAAGATTAAAGGGACATGGCAGATTTAAAAGTTATCCTCTCGAAATTATCAATCAAGGATAAACAGCTTGAAGAGCATTCATCGCAACACCGACAGCCCCAACAAAAAAGTTGAACTTTGTAGTTGTGGACGGTCGGCAACTTTTCAATCCGGCCATTATGGTACTCAACTGTTCTCCAACACTTTCCGTTCCGGTGGAGGCAATATTTTCCGAAACAAAACAGTAGGCGACGCCGGCTTGCAAATTTATTACCGAACACTTCAGTTTGCATTTCGCAAAGCGACTACCTTTCTAAAGTTGGCCATTCATGCACTATCATGTTCAGAACTATGACTAAGTATGTGTTACTGAGGATCCTTTTTTCACTTGAGGGGTCCTAGCTATATGCTCATGCTCTTGACAGGACAGTTTCTTAAGAAGTAAGTCTTATTTGATCTGAGTAAAGGGTGTAGCAACGACCGTAGCAACTGTCTCAATAATACGGGGCACCTAGCTTACAGGGGCTCCGACCTGAGAAAAAAACATACGTAAAGTGTTAATGTAACATCTGAAACATATCCTGTGGTCTTTATATAGATAGATCTTCATGTCTTTCTGGCCGCCAAATGAAACCACATACATACCACATTTGAAAACTCCCCCCCAAGGATTTATCGAAAACCACTGATTAAAAGAAAAAAAACGCCGAGACACGTCAAAAGATTTGTCAAGGACAACTATTTAACCAAAAACTACTTCACCCCTTTCACCCCCTGCCCCCCAGGGTGATCTCCTTAAAAATTTTAAATGACAAGGGGTATCGAGTAATAGCTTGTTTGAGAGGTCTTTCGAATTCTTTTATTTTGACGTTCAATTTTTTAAAATCGGTCGATTGGTTTTCAAGAACATTAGAAAAATCATTATTTAGCTTAATGTGTTCAGATAGAAAACAAAAACACACGAACATATCACTTTTTATTTCAATAAGTGTTCAAAATGTTGCCTGCTATTGGCCAAACGATGATATAGGCGATGTTCAAATTCGAGACGGACATTTTCAAAAACATGTGGGATATCATGGCAGCTTTCGATGGTGCGTTGACGAAGTTTATCCAAACTTTCAGGTTGGGGAGTAAACACAATAGATTTCAAATGGCCCCATAGAAAAAAGTCTAATGGCATCAAATCAGGAGTTCTAGCAGGCGATTCTGTAGGCGCCCTTCGCTCTGTGCATTGATTTGGAAACTCGTAGTCTAGCCATTGTCAAACCGGAAGAACATCGTGAGGATGAGCGCCGTCTTGTGTAAATATTTCAGCTTCATCCAGATAGGGTTTCCATCCTCTTCGATTTAGTTTTCAGTGATTTCAGTGGTAAGCGGATTGATGGCATTTCCCAAAATGGGGGGGGGGGTTGAGGGTGAAAAGGGCTGAAGTAGGTTTTGGTTAAAAAGTTATCCAATCAAAAAGTGTAAGGTGTTATGTACAATCCCACTCAAGATTGGGTGGCTCATAATTAACTTGCAAGTTGTAGTTACGGAACCTAAAAGTTCTCAAGCGATTGAAAAACCTCGGCCTCAGTGAGGTACCATCAATATTGTTGGTTGAGGACAAACAGAGGATTAACTCATATGTATGGCCCCCCTTAGCTGTTCTCTTCAATAATTCACCTGTTGTACTTCAGTATAGAGCACCCGCGTCGAATTATAGCTTTGTAGATAAGATATACACTACGCCCAGTCTCGATACCTACCGTGGGGAGCAAATGGGTATAGGTATTGTGTACCTATTATACACAGATACAGATACATGCATAAATCAATTTGCTACGGATGTGGGGGAAAGGACATAATATGAAGGGACTTTTATACTCACAGAAAAGCCAACATTTTTATTTCAATAGCATATCAAAATTTTACCCTCAAAAAGTATATATATGGTGTTTTTACTTTTTTTCTATAAACGAGAATCGGAAAGAGTTGCCTCACAGAGTTCAAATATTTTGCGTCAAAACTATTAACAGGTTGTATCGTGCTTCCACGCCACTTCTTTAAATGTTACTATTTTTCTGCCACGAAAGTTAGGATTCCACTAGATAAGAGAGAAACGACCTTTTATTCTCTGACGTTTACTGATATAAATGCTAGTCGATTCCGGTAATAGATGGCGCTTTGCGTTGCCTTATTTCGATAGAACTCATTACTCGGATAGAGGATAGTTGCTGTTTTCTCATATCCTATCCTAAACCACGCTGACGAGTTGCCGAAAAGCACGAAACAACTGGTTGGCGGTTCATGGTCGCACAGACGAAAGCAGCATGTTTAGTTTAAATCGAGAACTTATTCCAAATATTATGTATTCAAAGTTGAGTCATTTATTCTAACTGCTTGTAGGACTCGTCAAAAGGAGTTGGTGTACCAAAAATCGCCTATTTCAAAGTTGCATAATAAAAGAAATAGTAGAAGATTGAAAATTTTAAAAGTAAGAATGTTATTACACATACTTTTTGTGATATTCTCGATCACTGCCGTGTAAAATCTTAGCATTTTTGTATACTACTCTTTATCGTTTATCTAAATTTGGTAAACTGTATTATTGTACGGTTTTCGGTGAAAGTCTTTTGGTCGATCAATTCAATTCAAAATATTTATTTCATCACCAATAACAATAAACATTACAAATAAAGGAAATTCTACAATAAACAATGACGAAAAGGGACAGTCTCTCGATCATGGAACCGATACATGGAACACTTGCGAAAAAACCCTAAAAAGCCTTAATCCCATCTAATTAAATAACAGCTTAAGAAATATAATGTAATTATAATATGTATATTATCAACTACATACAAGTTTATACATTCCCGTGTACACACTAACTATACGTTGCAATATGTGGAAAAAAATAAAGAGGCAAATAAAAAGGCGGTGAGACACCAAAAGGCAAAATCGTAAAAAGAACCCCAGGAACCGGCAACAGACGCGTAGAACAAATCTATACAACTTGTCAGCGCTAAAGTAGCTGCTGATTCTATTACAATATTTACGTAAGTTTCTAGAATATTTTTGGCGATGAGCTTTTAACTGAAGTTCACAAATTATTACATAGGTGAACCGCCACATACGCAAACGATCGTTGGAAGGAACGCGGTCTATGCCTAGGTACGATAAAATTGAGATTATTTCTACTCCGCTGGGCACGAGCAAAGGCACAAATCTTTCTCTTAAATAGGGCGGTTGACCTCTTTTTATAACCCTTTAGATAAAAGAATATAAAAGACTAGATATGATGTCTTCTGCGATTAGCCATGTTTGATATGTTGTAGTTATGCAAATAAGGAGTGATATGGTTTCGGTATGGAATTCCAAAAACAAATCTGATGCAACTATTTTGGAACTTTTTGTATGCATCTTATTGTTCGCGACGAGAAAGAATCACTATAGACGACATCTATCCTGTACTGTTAAGCCAGAAGATAGTCACCACCCGGCACTAGCTGTTGATTTGACTGCCATATTCATTAAAGAGCCTAAGTTTACATTCAATCATAGTAAAATAACTTATAACTACAGAAAGGCTGACTTTGTCAACCTGTATCAAGAGCTAATTCAATTTGACTGGGATGTTTTATTCTGCTCTTCTGAAGTTAATTATATTGTTGATGTATTTTATGGCAACATTTTCCAAATTTCTGACAGGCACATACCTCTGTATAAGAATTACAGTCATCGATACCCGCCTTGGTTTCACGCAGCTATTATTAAGAAGATTAAACTTAAAGCTAAATTAAAAAAAAAATCAACAGGTCTGCTTTTGTTGATGATCTACAAGAATTCAAACGTTTGCGCTTGATAAAAAACCAGATTAAATCGGCGTATGATCAATATATTGAAAATATCCAGAATACTTTAACAATTAATCCCAATGCTTTTTTGTCATACGTTCACTCCAAAACAACACATCACGAATCCCAGGGATAATGAAATTTCAAAATAATTCTATAGATCAGCCTCAGGATATAGTAAACGCATTCAGTGAGTTTTTCAGCAGCGTTCATGTCACTCACAAGCCCAATAATAATGCCTCACTAAATCATAGTAATTTATTTGTTCATTTTCATCCAATTGAGGAAAATGAAGTCAGGAAGGCCATTAAATCACTAAAGGATAAGATGACATCTGGTCTAGATGGCATCCCGTCCTTTATAGTCAAAGATTCTGTGGAAGTATTTGTTGGTGTTCTAACTAGGATTTTTAATATTTGTCTGATAACAAAAAGATTTCCAGATATTTGGATCGCTAAGGTCTGTCTAGTGTTAAAGTGTGGGGATAAGTCAAATATTGAGAATTACAGGGCAATCTCTATATTATGCATGTTCTCGAAAGTATTGTACAGTCGCATTTACACTGCCGTCCAGCGTCAGCTGTCATTGCATCAACACGGATTCGTCGCTAATCGCTCAACAACCACAAATCTATTTATAATAACGCAGTACCTCTCGGAAGCCATTGATAGTATTGAGCAAGTTGACGTTATTTATACCGACTTTTCGAAGGCTTTCGATAAAATGAACCACAAAACTTTATTAAATAAGTTAGGTGCACTTGGTTTCACAGATGATGCTAGGGAGTTGATGAAATCTTACTCAACCGATCGCAGACAATTTGTTAGCTATAATGGCTTCCAATCTGAGACCTACTTGGCACCTTCTGGAGTTCCTCAGGGGTCCAACCTGGGACCATTACTGTTTTTGATATTTATTAGTGACCTCTGTGACTCAGTTCAATGTGAACGCCTATGCTTTGCTGACGACCTAAAAATTTAGTCGCAGATAAATACTCTTGATGATTGTATCAAGCTACAACACCAATTAAATTTTGTGCTGTCTTGGTGTGTAGAAAACAAGTTGGAGCTTAATGTGAGGAAGTGTAAAATAGTCAGCTATACCAGGAAAATTAATGTTTCCGAATATCCGTACTCTATTGATGGATCTGTGCTAGAAAGATGCTCTGATGTACGGGATTTAGGTATAATCTATGATCAAAAGTTAACTTTTAGTCAGCATATAAATAAAAAAGCATCAGAAGCATTGGCGGCTTATGGTTTCATAGTAAGGAATTGCAGGAATTTTCATAGCATAAAGTCTATTAAGCTATTCTAATATGCTTATGTTAGATCCAATGTCGAATATTGTAGTATTATTTGGAGCCATTACTATGAATGCTATAGCACAGCTATTGAAAGAGTATAACGGAAGTTTATGAAGTTTGTTCTGTTTAGGATTGATGGAACATGTCCAGAGAGAGGTACAAGTAATGAGGAACTATGTAGTCGCTTAGACATGTTGACTTTGAAAAAACGTAGGTACTGTGCCTCAATAATGATCAACAATTTAATTGATTGCCCCATGATCCTGGAACAGATCAAGTTTCGTACTCCAACGTTTGCATCTCGCAATCATAAAATATTCGGGCTTCCTAGAGCTACAACAAATATTCTTCTCAAGTCACCGTTATATTTAATGTGCTCTAACTTCAACAGAATTGGATGTTACTGTGATATATTTACTACAAATGTTAATTACCTGCTAAAGGCAGCTAAGGCTTATTCGGACCAATAGCTCATGTTACAAATTTATACCTGTGTTGTTTTCTTTTCGCTTTTTTCGCTTTTTTTTTGCTTTTGTATTATGTTTATAAATTGTCCTATAAATGGGACACTGTTGGACAGTAAAGCTATTATTATTATTATTATTACCTCCATAGTCAAAAAGTGATAAAATTAACGTATTACATAAACGATATTTTTGTTTGGCTGACAGATGGTTTTTTAATTTGTAAATATTTCTTAGTAAGCTATATTCATTCTGTTCCTGATGTGACTTTCGAAGCCAAGCGAGCTATCAAATATCATACCTAGATTTTTTGTCTCCTGAACCATTGTTAATAGAAATTACTGATTTTTGTTTAAAATGTCCTCTTGCATTACTGTTTTCATTCATAATTATTACTTGCGATTTTTCAATCAGTTGCATCAGTCTCTTAATAGTACATGTGCTCATTTGTCTGATTATTCTGTGCGAAAAATTGACACTTGTTTACGAAAACAATGAACTAGTGGACATAATACTAACACACGAAGAGTGCCAACAAGATGCAGCCGCAGCATCCAGGTTGTGTGCGGAAAGGTTACCTTTAAGAAACCATCCAGCCCCGCAGATGTTTGTAAATTTAGTTATTAGACTTCGTGACACATGATATTTGAAAAAACAACGAGGAGGTCACGCTGTAAGACCCGCTCAAGCTAAAATGTTACAAATTGAGGAAGACATTTTAGAAATGGTCAAAGACGACCCAACAATGAGTACTAGAGCCATACCAGATCAAGTTGAAGTTTCTCATAGTAAAGTGTGGAAGTCAATACGACAACAACCTGAGGATCATCCTAAAAGCGTTGCATTTTGCCAGTGGCTTTTAGATCAGTTCGGTAGACATGAAGATTTTACGAAATTAACTTTGTGTACAGACGAGGGCCACATTTACACGAAACAGAGTGAACAATTTCCACAACGATCATGTTTGGGCAGAAGAAAATCCGCAAACTGTAAAAAGAACTCATTTTCAACATAGATTTACTTTGAATGTTTGGGCTGGCGTGGTTAATGGCATGCTTATTGGACCCGATTTGTTTCCACATCGACTAAAACTTATTTAGATTTTCTTCGACACAATCTGCCACAATAATTAGAGGATCTTCATCTAAATGTAAGGCAGAATATGTAGTTCCTATATGATGGGGCTCCACCACATTTTAGACGATAAGTTCATGGACATCTAAATAATGAGTTTCCGT